ATCATTTCCAGACAGGATTCACCAAGGACATCTGTGTCCTATGGGAAGTCCAAACTCCCATTCTGCAAGTATGTCTAATTTATTTCAGCATTCAGCTGTCCCTTTTCTGTGAAATGTTTCTTTTATCCCATGTGTCTTTCTCTGCCTCGCCCTCTCAGTCTCACCCTTCCTTCCAACTAAGTTAGGAGAGGGACTCTGCTATTTATGGTTGACCTTACCACTGTGCTTTGTAAGGTATGCTAAAGGATTTTCTCCCCACCTTTGCCAGTGGATTTTTAAATTAATTTTAAAAGAGAACGCCATTTCTGAGGCTGTCCTTCCTTGAAGGACACTTTTTATTCCCTCTGCAGAATGTGCACTGGGGATTGGTCTATAGAAAAAAAATCTTCTGTGCCTCTGTTTTATTTTATTCCTGGGGTGGTTTGGAGGATGGGTGATCTGATGACACAACTAACCTCACAAAGTGTCCTCCTTCTCTGTCGGAGTTCAATTTACAACATAATCGGGCTTGGCAAGGGATATCCTGAAACAGCAGTAACCCTCTACACAAAACATCACTTTGCTTCAGGCCAAGCCTATTCACCTTCATGGTTACTTTTACACAGTGTCTAGTATCTTGTGTACAACTATAATACTTGGTCCTCAGTGATTAAAAAGAACACAGGGTTTGTCTACACACACACACACACACACACACACACACACACACACACCAGACTCTGGGAGAAGTGTGCCTTCCAGAAGTATTCCTTGCATTGCTGCCCAAATCCAAACCTCTTCTTTGAGAAGGGAAGGGCACATTAAAGGAGGTGCCTGAACCCTTCTCTGAGTCGGGGGCCCATGGTTTCCTCCACGTCCCTGGTGGAGGCTTAGAGTCGGAGTGGGAGAGGGAAGTGGTTGGAGAAGGGGAGAGAGCTATGTTGAAAGACAGCTGGGGAGAAAGCAAGCCCTCTATTCCCCTCTGCCCCTTAGTCCATGCTGAAACCCCAGAGTACACTAGCAGAAGCGGAAATGGGCAGTCCTGCCATTTCCAGGTTCTGGTGGGGACCTTTCCACATCCTAAACCAAAACACGGGACATAGACTGTCTGGGTTTGTTCTGAAGAGGTGGCAGGTCCATTTTTTCATGGAAATCCTGACAGTGTCAGCTGTGAATACCACTGATGCTAGTGTAGGGTTAACACCATGGAGGTTGCAGGGGCCTGTGCTCTTGCTGTACTTCCCTCACAGCTCTCTCTGTTATTTACTTTCCCCTTAATTTCACATTTGTTAGTTGTGGGTTTGGGTAGGGCAGGAGAAGCAATAATTTCCATTTACTACCAACCACATAGCACACAAAACCAAATGTAGACCACTCCTCAGTCACCGACCACTGTTTCTGATGGTACAGGGACATTCTAGGATGGGGGATGAGATATCCATCATTCAAAATGAGCCCAGAGGGCCACTGCTATAAATATATGTGGTTGGCTGAATATAAATGTCTGACTGTATATTTTTTAAGATAAACTTTTTGTCTGTTTTGTTTTGTTTTGAGACAGAGTCTCTCTCTATCTCCCAGGATGGAGTGCAGTGGCATGGTCTCGGCTCACTGCAACTTCCACCTCCTGGGTTCAAGCAGTTCTCCTGCTTCAGCCTCCTGAGTAGCTGGGATTACAGGCATGCACCACCATACCCAGCTAATTTTTGTATTTTTAGTAGAGACATGTTGGCCAGGCTCGTCTTGAACTCCTGACCTCAAGTGATCCATACACCTTGGCCTCCCAAAGTGCTGGGATTACAGGTATGAGCCACCACGCCCAGCCAAGATAAACTTAAAAAAGAAAAAAAGACTTTAATTAGCTGGAACCCTACTAACCAGCACTCTGACTTAATTAGGACAATAAACTATCAGGAAAAGAAACAAATGATAACAAAAAAAGATAAAAATAATAGCTATTTATTGTGTCACTTCCGTGTGCCAGGAAGTTATTTCATATACTTTTTCTACCAACCCTGGGGAAACTCTAAATGTCAAAGAGGTTAAGTAAGCTAGCTAAGAGCATACCTCCATTTACAAGTGAGTCAAAACTCAACCCCAGGTTCTATGCTCTACAGAGCTATTCTATATGCCTAAGTTTTGTCATGTGTTGCCATAACAGAATAGCTGAGAATGTAATTTAAAAAGAAAAGAGGCTGGGCTCAGTGGCTTTTGCCTGTAATTCCAGCACTTTGGGAGGCCGAGGCAGGCGGATCACAAGGTCAGGAGATCGAGACCATCCTGGCTAACATGGTGAAACCCCGTCTCTACTAAAAATACAAAAAATTAGCCGGGCTTGGTGGCGGGCACCTGTAGTCCCAGCTACTCCAGAGACTGAGGCAGGAGAATGGCGTGAACCTGGGAGGTGGAGCTTGCAGTGAGCTGAGATTGCGCCACTGCACTCCAGCCTGGGCGGCAGAGCAAGACTCTGTCTTAAAATAAATAAACAAATAAATAAATAAAATAAAAAGAAAAGAGGTTTATTTGGCTCACATTTCTGATGGCTGGAAAGTCCAAGAGCATGGCACTGGCATCTGCTCTGCTTTTGGTGAGGGCCACGTGCTGTGTCACACATGGCAGAGAAGCAGAAAGGCAAGTGGGTGTGTTCAAAGAGGGCAAAACATGAGAGTCAACTCTGCTTTGTAACAAACCACACTAGTGGGAACTAATCCATTCCCAGTAGAACTAACCCTGTCTTGGGAGAAATACATTCACCTATCTTAACCACCTAATCACCTTTTAAAGGCACCATCTCCCAACACTGCTACATTGGCAATTAGATTTCAGCATGAGTTTTGTCAGAGACAAACCACATCCAAACCACAGCACTTTATATATCTTGCTTTTTTGTTTGTTTGTTTTGTTTTTGTTCTGAAGTCCTAAATAATGAAATGGGTAAGACTTTTACAGCTACTAGGGTAGTCATTAGCACTGTTTATCAAATATTTTTGGATTGCCACCTTCTGAACATAGAGAAAGACAATATTTTCCAGCCCCCTCCTGAGTGGGACACTGTGGCTGATACAAGTCAATATGTTGTGAGTGGAAATAATAGAAGTGATGTGTGTCACCTCTGAACTGGGGCATTTAATCATTAACAGGAGACTCTCCAGAGCTCTCTTTCCTTCTGCAAAAAGGCAAGTTCCAGCTCCACCAGCATAGGTCTTGAAGTGAGGATGATTTCAAACCAAGCCTCAGCTGCCCCATGGTAGATATGTTATATGCCTGAGAGTTGGGGATTATCTGATACTGCAGCATAATCTAGCCTATCCTAACTGAAAGGATCACAACCTAAAGAGTACAGAAATATATCTTTATTTCCTCATAACTAACTTAACTCTCAAGCCCCCACTTCCACCAATAGTAGAAAATTTAATGTTGTCCATTCAACTCACTTTGAGTGTAGCTCTCCCCCATTTTTTGAGGAGAGAATACTTGGTTAATTCCAAGTTCCACCCCTTGGGATAGGGATGGGACAGTACATCTAAGTTTCAGGTAATGAAGTGGGTAAAAAGAATAGGTTTTTTTTGGTTGTTTTTGTTTTGAGATGAAGTCTCACTCTGTCACCCGGGCTACAGAGTGCAATGGCAAGATCTCAGATCACTGCAACCTCCGCCTCCCAGGTTCAAGTGATTCTCCCACCTCAGCCTACCAAGTAGCTGGGAATACCCGCATGCGCCACCACGCCTGGATCGTTTTTGTATTTTTAGTAGAGATGGGGTTTCACCATGCTGGCTAGGCTGGTCTCGAACTCCTGACCTCAAATGATCTGACCACCTCAGCCTCCCAAATGCTGGGATTACAGGCGTGAGCCACAGTGCCTGGCCAAGAGCAGTTAAGTGCCCCATAACAAAGAGAGGCACTGCAAGTTACCTTTGTCCCAGGGCTGTCTTCTCATCTGCAAGCCATCACAGCCACGTGGCTCTTTCCTCTCTACCTTTGTGGTGGATGTGTCAGAGGCACGTGAACCAGAGCGACTCCATCTTGAATAGAAGCTGGGTAAAATAAGGCTGAGACCTACTGGGCTGCATTCCCAGGAGGTTAGGCATTCTTACTCACTGGATGAGATAGGAGGTAAGCACAAGGTACAGGTCACAAAGACGTTGCTGATAGAAGGATGCAGTAGAGAAGCCGGCCAAAACCTACCAAACCCAAGATGATGATGAAAGTGACCTCTAGTCGTCCTCACTGCTCATTATACACTAATTATAATGCATTCGCATGCTACAAGACAATCACACCAGCACCTTGACATTTAATAAATGCCATGCCAATGCCCAGAAGCTACCCTATATGGTCTAAAAAGGGGTGGAACTCTCAGTTCCAGGAATTGCTCACCCCTTCCCGGAAAACTCATGAAAAGTCCACCCCCTGTTTAGCATATAATCAAGAAACAGCCAACCAGCAGACCTCAGGGCTGCTCTGCCTATGGATTAGTCATACTTTTATTCCTTTACCTTCTTAATAAACTTGCTTTCACTTTATGGATTTGCCTCGAATTCTTTCTTGCACAAGATCCAAGAACCCTCTCTTGGGGTCTGGATCGAGACCCCTGTCCAGTAACAGACGCCTGCAACACTGCCAAGGCTTCTGAACATGAGGCAAGCCAGTCTGCCCCTCCTCATCTTAACCCAAGACCTCTAAGGTTTCCAGCCCGCTCACAATGTTTCTCCCTCCTCCGCACCAGATCTCTGGACCTCAGGCTGCTGGGACACTGTGAGGCGGTCCTCGAGTAACTCATGCAGCTACAGTGACTATTGCTCTGACATCGTGTGTGCCTCTCTAAGGGCCTCACTGTCTGCCTACGCTACAGCTTGGGGAGCAAGGCACGAGTGCCCTCTTGCCTCAGGCCCCAACCCCACCAAACCTATCAGAGGTTTATTTTTGTTCGTTTGTTTTGTGCCGTTGTCCTAGGTTTCTTGAAAATATTACAGTATTGCAGAAAGATTCAAACAGATCCCTGAGGCGTTTTGAAAGTCATGTCACCTGTAGGCTGACTGACCTGCAGGTTGGACAGACTGCCAAATGCTGGAGTCCAAAAGCATTTTCTTAGCATCAGAATCTACTTCAATGATCTCCTGATCCAGGGCTGAGACCTCGGGAACATGATTGTCTCTTTTTTCTCCCTCCTCCTCCTGCAGCTTGATGGAGATACCTCTTACTGCGTCCCTCCGAATCCACTTCATCAGATGCGTGACATAGCCTGCTATCTTGTTGTGGAGCTTCTTGCTGGGGATAATGGTGATCTCCTCACACACGTGCTTGTCCGTGTGGCAGTCGTTGCCCAGGCACGTGTAGTACTTTTCTATGATGACCCGGACTGCCTTCTTCATGGTTTGGGTGTGAACGCGGCCCATGTTGGCGGGTCCTTGGTAAAAGAGGCCCTATCAGAGGTTTCTAACACACATTTTCTACACCCCACTGCTGGCATGAAGTCAACGGGGTAGCGGGATAGGGGTTAGGACTCTGAACATTCTCACAGGGAAGCCCAACAATATCAATATCTTACTTTCCTGCTTTCCTTTCCCAACTCTCGGGTCCCTCCCCTTTTGGAATGTAAAACTATCTCTTACATCAGAGCTACTCAAAGTGCTGGTTGGCAACAAGCTAAGTCTGGTTGGTGTCAGCATATAAATCACCGTTATTGCTTCCTTCATCAAGAAAGTCTTGCTAAAAAAAAAAAAAAGAAACCAACCCTCAAAAAAAAAAAAAAAAAACAGCAATAGTGCCAACTGAACTAAACAGTGTTCATAGTGATAAAGTTGATTTACATTCTGGAATAGGCTTCTTATCTCAGTAATAAACAGGTCTCAGGAGGTAGCCGAGTTTGTTGTATGTTCCTACCTATTCTGTGGTTTGTGGATAAATTTTATGCCCAGCTTCCTTCCAGTTTCGGCTTTTGATGCTCAAAGCCAGCTTTTGGAATTTAAAAAACCTTTCCACTCTTTGGTACCTTGTCTTTCAAGACTATTGTTTCAGCTCTGAGTTTCAACAACCCCATTCAACAATTCAATTGACTCCTTTGTTCCAGCCTGTATCTGCCCTTGTCCTGAGAATATTTTTTTTTAAATCATTGCTGAGAGACTGGTGAGGAAAAGATAATAATTCTGCCTCTGCACTGTTCAGCTTTTTAATTGTATTTCCTGTCTCCCTGGCTAGAATGTGGCATAGTTTTTAAGGTTGAGATTTATTTTATAAAGAAGAATTAATTCTCTAAGCATTCAGATTAATCAAAGTTTGCCTAGCTCTTTGTAAAAATGACTTTTTAATTACCAGTCATTTTGAATCTGCTCCCCTCTAACAGCACACACAATGAAAAAGTCACTCAATTAATGTGATGTTTATTAAGAATATGTAATGACATGAATAAATGCTTCTTATAATATGAACTGAAAAAAGTGGGTTACAATGTTGGGTTACAGTGTACATATAACTTTAAAAATACAACAAAAGGTCTAGGACTAGGAAAAACAATAGAAATAAATGCATTTGTTTATATTTTTAATTTATATAATATTCTTTAATAGAAAAAATTTTAATTTTTTAAAAAAGTGACTACACTTCCCTATTGACTTATAACTTGGAAAACACATTAGTCGTGATTCCATTTTGTCTTACATTATTCTTTTGATGGTTTATCTCTCCAGTATCTGCTCTAAGAATCTTTTCTGCCATATTTTAATAACCTTCGAAAGCAACTGAACTCCTCCGTTGTGGTGCTTTTCTTTTTTTTTCTTTTTTTTTTGAGGTGGAGTCCCTCTGTGTCACCCAGGCTGGAGTGCAGTGGCATGATATTGGCTCACTACAACCTCCACCTCCCGAGTTAAAGCCATTCTCCTGCCTCAGCCTCCTGAGTAGCTGAGATTACAGGTATCCACCATCACATCTGGCTGATTTTTGTATTTTTAGTAGAGATGAGGTTTCACCATGCTGGCTGAGGCTGGTCTCGAACTCCTGACCTCAGGTGATCCACCTGCCATGGCCTCCCAAAGTGCTGGGATTACAGATGTGAGCCACCATGCCCAACCGTGGTGCATTATTATTTCATCAACCCAGTGAAGAACCCCTCTACATTCCTGATCCTCATTTCTACCCAACCCCCAGGTCTCCATATGTATTACTTGTCTGGCAATACACGTGTACCCTCACTCACTGCATATGTATTGCTGATCCATGTGCAAACATGCTTCCAGTGTGCATGAAGGCTCAGTGTCATGCTATGCCAACCGTCTCTTACTTTGCTCATCATTGCCTCATTTTCAGGATTTTTCCCATCACCACACCCTTGTTGTTTCCTATCTCAAAGAATAGTGAGGCATCCCAAATCCCTTACACAGACTGTGAAGTGTCTGGAATTAAATTTCTGAGTGACCTCCACCCTGAGATTACACTCTGCTACCAGGTCTGTAGAATGTTTTCTAAAGCTTTATTGAGATATAATTTACGTAGTACAAAATTCACCTATTTAAATGGTGCAATTCAGTGGTTATGTGCACACTGCAACCCAACATTATAACCCACTTTTTAAAGTTCATGTTATGAGAAGCATTTATTCATGCTATTACACATTCTTAATAAACATCACATTAATCTAATGACTTTTTGATTATATGTGTTGTTAACGGGGAACAGATTCAAAATGGTAATAAAAAGTCATCTTCACAAAGGGCTGGGCACACTTTGATTAATATACTCCAAGGTTGTACAACTATCACCACTAGGTAATTCCAGAATATTTTTATCACCCATAGAAGGAACTCTAAGCCCATCAGCTGTTATTCCCCATTCATCTCGCCTCCCAAACCTTGGCAACCACTTTTACTCCCTGTCTCAATGAATTTGCATGCTTTGGACATTTCACATAAGTGGAATCATACAATATGTTGTCATTTATGACTGGCTTCTTTCACTTAACATAAGGTTTTCAAATTTCACCCACAATGTAGTATTTCATTTAGTATTTTATTCCTCTTCCTGGCAGAATAATCTTCCATTACATGAATATACCATATTTTGTTTATCCATTGGGCTTGTAGAATTTAAAGCAGCATCACTTTTAGTACTTAAAGTATAGTGAATTTCTGTCAAGTAATTAGGATAATTATGTCTTTTTAAAAATAATAATAATTTAGGCATCTTAGCAAATGAACAGAAAAAAGAAGGGATTTAGGGAAAACATAGGAAATTTCTATATTTTTCTATTCTTTCAGTAAAACAGAATTCTATGCAAGCTAGAAATGTTTTCTCACATTTTTCCTGTGCCTACACATCTCTATACACCTTCCTAATCCTGAAAACCCAGAACACAGTGCTATACTGACTTGGTACTGAATCCTCAGTAAGTGTTGAATAAAGGGTGGATGAAGAGTGAATAAGAGACACCATCTTGCTCTTTCTTCTCCCGGAAGCCTCCCCCGACCTCCACCTTGCTAGTCTTCCTTTCTGCAGTGCAAATGGTTGAGCAGACAGTAGTGGGGAGAGCTGCAGGAGAGGTCAGCGGTTAAGCTTAATTACAAGTAAATACAATTTCTCTGGGGTTGCTGTGGAAAGGAGAACAGATAAGATCAGCAAAAGTACTTGGAGGGCCTTGGAAGACAGCCCCTCTGCAAATATAGGATTGGCTTTTATTGTTGTTGCTGCTAATAAAACAGATGTTCTCAAAGCATTCCTCCAACCAGTAACAGGGCTGGGGAAATTGCTGTGTCTTTACTGGTTGCTGAAACTAAATAAAAATCAAATTAAAGTTTAATTCACCTCATAATTTTCTTCATGGCAGGTCTGCTCAGCAGCCTTGAGGCAGCGCCAACGTCCTCCTCCTCTGTGGCATATATCACCCTCAGCCCGGGGCCCCCAGAGGTCAGCTGCACATTTCCCTCTCCTGGAGGTCCAGTGTGGGTGTTTGCAGCTGAAGAAAAGGCCCAGGCCAAGATGAAAGGATGCTGGGAGCTGCTGGAAGATACCAGAAAGGACTTTGCTCCTCTTCCCCTCTCCAGGGTCTCCATGGCAACAGGGGGAAAGCTGCTAGGTATTCCAGCTATGTGACCTGGGCCATGCATATTACCCAGCCTCCTGAGGGGTGCCAGACCATAAACACTGAGAGGCCTACAACCACAGATGGCATGCTCCCTCCTATGCCCCTCATACCCAGGACAGTGTCTGTGATAAGGAGGGCTCAAGGATCATTTCATGCATCCGTGCAATGAAGTTTCCTGTTCAGTCAATACACGAGTGAGGGAATGAAGTAATTTTTTGCAAGTGTTTCCTTTTAAAATAATATCTGTTCTTTTTTAAACCTCCTTCCTCCCTTCTTTTCTTCCTTCCTATTCTTTGACACACAAATAATGTAAAACTTCCCAGGGCACCGTTCCAACTCTAACAGATGATTCCCCACGTGCTGGGAGTTAACAGCTTGCTACTGACTGTAAACTCAGAGTTGGGTTTTGCAGTTTTTAGATATATTGAGTGCTCTACAGATGCAAAGCAGTGACCTCCTCATCTAAATCAGACAAATGCAGATAAGGAGAAGATCATGAGGAAGCCAAGAGGTGGATAAACACAAATGCCCAAAAGAGTCTTCAAGGTCAAGAACTGTCTCTAGAAAAGCCATTGCAGTGACATGAGAATGTCAGAAGTAAAACCCAGGTAGGATCACACATTCTCCTTTGAAATTAGTCCCTGCTCATCCATTCATTTAACATTTCAGTGCCTACAAAGTGGACAAGACCATATGGAGATGAATGAGGCTGACTGTGAGGGGCCTGCAGACTAGTAGGGGAGGCTGAAGTGGAAATGAATTGTTACCTTACAAAGTGGCAAAGGCTGCAGGAGAGACATAACGTCCAGGTGGTGCTGGGAGATGCTCCCCAGAGGAGGCAATGGGGAGATTCCTAGCAGGAATAACCTGACTCAGTCTGGGTCTTATAGAGTGGAGTCAACATGAGAATGGGAAGTTCAGGATATAAGAATGTAACTGCCCAATGTAACCTTGCCTGTTGCCTAGGCAGAGCCAATTTATCAAGACAGGGGAGTTGCAATAGAGAAAAAGGAATTCACACAGAGCCAACTGTGCAGGAGACCTGAATTTTATTATTACTCAAATCAGTCTCCCCAGCATTCAGGGATCAGAGTTTTTAAGGACAACTTGGTGGTCAAGGGAAAGCTGGTGAGCCAGGAATGCTGATTGGTCAGGTCAGAGATGAAATCATAGGGAGTTGAAGCTGTCTTCTTGCACTGAGTCAGTTCCTGGGTGGGGGCCACAAGAACAGATGAGCCAGTTTATTGATCTAGGTGGTATCAGCTGATCCATCAAGTGCAGCGTCTGCAAAATATCTCAAGTGCTGATCTTAGGAGCAGTTTAGGGAGC